CCTCTGGATGTTTGCTTTTATTATTTTGCCTTTTGATTTTCAGAGTAGGTTTTAAAAAGATGGAGAGGATTGTATTATCTTTTAGCTTCTATCTCAAATGTGATTCCCCTCTTTGGGATAAATTTGTATGTGATGAAGATTCTTTTTTTACCTTGATTTTTTTCCCACCATTTCTCGTATCCAAATTTCGCTAAAAACCAACCGATAACTCGAAATTGTATTCGTTTTTGTCTGTCTTTTGTTTAGATGGAAAAAATATTCATTGTTTGATTTTGTAGAGACTTGATTGGGTAGCATTATATCATACTTATGCATAACTTAAGTCAGCTACTTGCATGGTCTATACATATATATATCTGTTTGTCAAGCATCAAGGTTTATGTAGTTAAGAAAGGTTAGGTTATATATAGAGATTTAGGCATTATCAGGAAAGAGCAAAAGGGTGTGTTAAATAATTGTAATATCTATATATAATGTTGAAATAAAAGGTATTTGTGCAATTTTTAAATAAAAGTTAAAGAGGATATTCTTGTAAATTAATATATGAATATATCTAATGAATGTGATGATAATTGGAATTAATGTACGAAAAACAAGGAATCAGCATGTTGATGTTTGATATCAGCAACCAATTTCTTGTTCTTGTTGTCAAGCCTCTTCTTTTCTTGTTCTCTAATTTCTTCCTCTTCCAGCTGCATCTGTTTCTTCCGGCATCCATGGCTGCAATATGCAAAGTCCCTGCATTTCGTTCCATCCCAGTTCAGTTATATTCATATATACCCACCCCATACATATATATATATATATATATCAAAGATGATATGTGTGTGTGTATATATATATATATACAGAGAGAGAGAGAGGAAGAGAGAAAATAAAGGGTAGGTTTTAATTCGGAAAATTTAGTAGTTAAAACTACTAGATGATTACTTAGTGGCACTCTGTAATATATGTAACATAAATGTATATATGCGAAGGTATATGGAAAGGTGAAAAAGTGAAAAAGTGCTTACCTATACATATAAGTAGTAGCATAGTCATTCAACTTGTTCTTGCAGAAATTACAGTGGTCCAAAAAATTACTCTTTGGCTTCCAGTCTCCATTACTTTTCTTCTGCTCCTCCACTCTTGCCGCCATGGAAGTTGTTTGAGTTTTGTAGCAGGAGATTGGAAGTTGGTGGAGGTAGGAGACAAGCTCTTAGGTTATAGATACATATATACATATATATATATATATATATAAGGAAACAAACGACTAATTTCGCCAAATTCAGTCATTGACTCACTCGGATTTCCCTCTTAGTCAGTTTCTTTTTTGGCATTCCAATTAATTACGAGGTATTAATGGGAGGATTATTAGACCTTTTTAGTTTAATTTCTAAAATATCACTGAAAATATATACAATATTTACTACCCTTTTCAGGCCTCATAAAAGAAAATAAATTCCCACTGTTAATTTCCTCAACTGTCAATCATCACTACTCTTTCCACAATAATAACTATATATATTATATTATATTTATTGAAGTAAATTTAATATATAATAGAGAATATATTTATATTAATTAAAAAGTAAATATATTTAAAAGATTTTATGTCTTAATTAATCGATAATGTGATGCTAATTAATAATTAGTTTAGTAGTTGTTTCACTAATTACCCACGTAATCTGACGGCACAAACTTTATGTCTCATTTCAACTCTGGCAAAAAATTTTAAAAGTCAAAAAGTAATTTGGCATAAAATAAAGCTGATTTAGTATTTTTAAAAAATATATATTGAGATTTTTTTAATAAATTATTAAATTAGTTTATAAATTTTATTATTTATTATAATTTATTTTTTTATTTCTATGTTTCATTTTAATAAATTAAACAACAATAAAAATAAAAGACGAAAATGACAAAGAAATATATACATAAACTGACAAAAAAAGATATATGTAAACCTTACTTTTCCACTCCAAAACTAAAGTCGCTTTTATTATTTATGTATATATATATATATATAAATGCTAAGCGTACAAAAATTTCATCATACATCAAAACTTTTGTACTCGTAGCACTACTTAAACTACCCGATTACATTCTTTCCCATAAAAGAAAAAGAAATTCCCAGTTAAGTTCTACAAACTATTACATACATACATGTATATATATCTATATATATAAGGGTTAAGTACTGGAGGAATGAGATCTGTTGAGGTGTTCCACAAGTAACTTGAAAGAGGAAACACTTCCCAATGCTCCAATAACACAACCAAAAGCAATGAGAATCAAATTAAGAATCAAAACAGGTTTTGATATAATCTGATTACTGCTACTCCTCCAACAGGTCTTGAGGTAGAAGATGCATGGTAATATAATGCTGATACAAACACTGATTAATGAACCAGTGAGATTGAGGACGTACTGGAAGTAAGGAACAGATAGAGCTAGAACCAGAATGAGGATGAGGAAAATTGAACCTGTGGAACTTCTCACTATCATCTTCGTTCTGGAAGCCATGGAAGCTGGAAGATTCTGCTCAAGTTGGATTGCAAATGGAGCAAATTCCAGAGCATATTTTGTCATGGGTGTAAGTACAGTTGCCCATAATGCAATCTTGGTGATGACCAGATGAGTTGGTAGACTTAGGGTGATCTGAGAATTTACGGATGATCCAAACATTTTTGCACCCAGAAATCCTAGTCCGGTGTACAATATTGTCACTGATGTGAAACTCACTATTGATACCTGCAACATTATTACAAACTATTATACACACACAGACACATATATACATATATATATTAAAGATAAGCACGAGGCAGATTTCTTAGTTTAATAATTCCAATATATGTGGAGCTCAAATTCCACGATTCTCAATGTATATATGATATATATATATATGTTTAACAATTCTCTATGTATATATGTCAGCAGGTCACCCTCAATGACCATGCATCTATGTATATATATATGTATATATATATATATATAGCAATATGGTAAAAGCATCAATGCAGAAAGCATATTCCTTAGTTAATTATTCCCATTTATGTGGAGCTCAAATTCTAAGATTCTCTATATGTAATATATATTATACAACATATACTTTCATCTGCACAATCACGCATACATATATATATGTCTGTATATATTAATAAGGAGAGGTGAAAACCGAGGAACTGACCTTTGTGAACTGGGAAGGATCTTTCATGGACTTGTATAAGTTCGGAAAAACAATATGACCTGCATAGCTGAAGACATAAAGCCCAGAAATGGCTGGAATTTTACGTAGTTGCAGAACTGGTATACTCTGTACAGGTTTCACAGCTCCAGAAATTGCAGTGAAGGAGACAGAACCGAAGATGACGAGCGACATAAGAATCCCACCAAAAGAAAGAAAAGAAATGGAGGAGAGATCCCTGAGCCATATACTTGGAAGAGCTATCAACACGGCAATCGTGGTTAACAACTGAGACGTCGTGATCGGTGCCGGAATATTCTCGAAGGTGGTGATGCCGGAGAAGACGGTAGTGAGATTATCATGGAGGGAAATGGTGTAGGAAACAAGAGCCATGAAAATTTCAATGTAGATGAAGGTTGCAGCTATTATTCTTCCTTTTTTCCCAAAGGCTTCATGGCCGATATCTGTGTAACTATTTAGCTTAGGGTTTTTGTCAAGACATTTTCCCAGAATATGACTGGTGTAAGCACAGATTATTCCGAGTCCGATTAGAAGGAAACTGGAAGACCATCCTCCATTTTGTAGGGCATATGGAGTTGATAACTGTCCCAAACCTATATAAAAATTTATACATTCATCAATACGTGATATATAATATAGAAGTACAGCTAGACTCTGAAATCAACATCTTATAAAGAAAAAAAAAAAAACTTAAATAATAACGATTCAGTTCAGTAATAGTTAATGATATGAATCCGTAAAGTGATTAATTACCAAATATAAGAATATATATATGTAGATGTATATGTATATGTATATGTATATGGGTTACCAATGAGCATGCCAATCATGTTGAGAACAGCGTGAGAAAATGAACTATTGGCTTGTGGGTGGCGCTGAGCATCATCATCTACACATTTGCAGACTTTGTTTTCCTCTACACAAACGTTGCAGCTTCTATATTTCCTGCTTGAATCTTCATTTGCCACTACACATTCTCTCAGTTTTCCGCACATTTTCTTCTTTCGAATATTCTTGCTTGAGAGAAATATATATATATATATATATATAGATATGTATGTATAAACGTCTATAGATATAATCTGGTTTAAGATGAAGAATACTTGAGAAAAACAAGCAAGGCAACGAGGGTATTTATAGCAGCACAGATAAGGAAATGAGAATCCAAGGAAACAACAGGAGAGTGAGTTGTACATGCAAATACATGCACGGAATATATATATATATATATGTGTGTATATGTGGGTTAATTGAGAAGGGAATAAATGCACCTAACTGATCATAAGGCGGCATTGATCATTCCAGATCTTCCAGGTGACTTGGCCAGTTGAGACCAACTTGGTTTCAATAATATTCCGATGATAATTGAATTTGAAAAGTAAAAAAGAGTAATAATGGTGGAGGCCAAATTATTGTTGTAATTTGATTGTAATTAGAAACCCATATGTATATGTATTATGTATATGTACATGTATATGTATAGTGTATAAGTAAATGTATTATTTGAAGAATCAAGTAAAGTCGGAGCGTTGAAATTAAATTAATAATAAATTGGTTGACTAATTTTTCTTCGTTACACATTTTCCAGAAGACTTGGCCAATTCTACCTTTCAACATAATTCTATTCACTTTTTTCTTTACATCTACAGTTATTATTACAAAGCCGTAAACATATACATATAGTTTTTTTGAATAATTTTATAGTCTTAAATAATTAGATTCTGGAATAACATATTGGATTAATTAATAAGAAATTATATAATTTATTGTTAGCAAATTTTTTAACGTTTAAGTACAATTTTTAAATATTTAAATTAAATAATTACTGTTTAATTTAATGGTTCCATACACCATATATTTTTTTTTTATAAAAAATCATAAATTTGAGTTTGACCGTACTCTTATGGGTATTATTTTTAAATTATTTATATTATATTATGATTAATTTATATATCATTTAATTCATAAAAATATTTATTATCTATTCAAATATTTATATATAGAATGAGTAAAAAAAAAATATAAATCAAATAAATACCGACAAATTTCGCGATCTATACTAAATTTATAAAACGTAACTAACAGTATAATGTTATCGTGTTTAATCGATTCGATAATATGAAGAATTGTAACGTGAGAATCCGAATCTTGCACATGATACGACATTACACCATATATATTTTCACACATATATATGTATTAGGCAGCCCACAGTGGTATTCATGGCGGCAGATTCAGCCTTCAGGTGGGATAAAAACACAAAGGCTTCATCGACACGAGTTGCTTTTGCTCTTATTAATTCCCCCATGACAACTTTCATACATACATGTATATATATATATATATATATATATGTATATGCACGTCACGTATTTGCAGTATCTTTCAGTATGCGAGAATTTATAAGACATGCAGTGTTTGCGGATGCCAAACGAATCATATCCAAATGCGACGTGATCTTCCCCCACCACATAAAATGCAAATCGTTCCAGTTGACATCAACGTTGCTTCTCAAGATTTCGACTCAGACTCACAATCGAATTAATTTAATTCTCATTTACGATATTATAAGTTCGAATATTATGAATTTAAATAAATTCTGTTTATTGTATATGTCATTATTTAAAAATTATTGAAATATATAAATTTTTTGTTAAAAAAATCAAATTACACCTATCAACATTTATATATATATATATAATGTATTTGTTTAATTATATAAGTTATACTATTTTTAATTCATATATTTAATTATTGTTAATGTTCTTTTTACAACAGAGATTCAGAGAATGCAAAGTATATGACGTGATGATTGGCGAACACATCTGCCGTCAAACTATAAATCATATATGGAATTGAAGATATAAACCCATCAATTTATTGATTATTCAATTTCCATTGATGTTTCATGAACACACCAGAATTGAACAAACTCAGATATGTGTGTGTGTATATATATGTATGTATGTATTTCAGAAGTAGTCATGATCATCAATGGATGAACAAAAAGGTCAATTATCGTTGAAAAACAGTAATCCTGAGTGGTCAAACACATTATTACCTCCATCTCCATTAATGTCTGCCGGAAAAATTGGAAAGTTCTTGTTTGTTGGATTCGTCATATTCATGTCATTGGAAAACAAATGTGGAGCTTCATACAGATCATTCCTTGAACTTCCAACTATTTGATCATCCAACGAGCAAAGATTATCATCACCTCTGGGGTTATTGTATCCATAATGATGATCGTACCCGTTGTTGTTGGTAGCAGAACCAACAAATTGGAGATTATCAGTCAGATGATCATCACGATCGCCATTGATGTTATAACAATCGAACTGATTATCGTTGCTCGTTGTAGCAACAAGAGTAGAATCAGAGATTGAAGCTCTTTTCCCCAAATTAAAATTACAAGTCAAAAGATGATGATTCTGGAAATAGCTATTGAACTCGTTGGGGTTAGTTCCGGTGGCGACAGAAATAGGAGAAACAGAATTTTGAATCGGTGTTGAAAAATCAGGAACCGAAACCCTGACCATCACATTCTCTCTCAGCTTTTCTAGCTTGTATATAATGAGATCTAACTCTGAAATTGCCCGATACCTATCAAAATCTTCAACATCGAACCAAAACGCTTCAATCTTTTTCTGTTTCTTCTCTCTGGGTCGCCGACTTTCTTTCACTTCCCGCTCTAAAACTTGAATGTTTTGACAGAGAGAGAGAACCGATGCTCTCGTTTCGTCCGCCATGGGAGGAGGAGCACGGCTATTGAGGAAAGCGTCGAGGACAGCATTGACGGAGGAATAACCGAAGGTGTAGAACTTGTTGAGTTTGGCAGGATTGGGAGAAGAAACTAAGACGGCGACCTGAAAATCGCAGAGGACACAGAGTTCTGCAGCTTTGTTGAACAGACCTCGCCGCCGTTTGGAGAAGGTGACAGCTCTTTGCTCCTTCGTTTCCCGCTTTTCCATTGCGAGTTTCCGTCTTCTCATCATTGAAGCTCAGTTCGTTGTGAGAAATCTTTCTTGGTTTCAGAATCTGTTATTGGTTTTAGGAAATTCCTGCGAAGCAAACAAAAGTATATTAGGAAGCTGTAAGGGAAAATCTTCTGTATTAATGGAAGTGAGATTTTGTGATTAAATTTTCCATTTCTGTTTTGTTTCTTAAATTCTGATTTTGGTGCATTAATTGTGTTAAAAGCAACTATAATGGTATATATATATATATATATATATACGCATATATACAGAAATAAAGATTTTTTAAATTATATTTTGGCTGATTTTATTTATATTTTTGTTTCTATTTATAAGACATGAATATAATTCATTAATGATAATTTTATTTATATTTATATAAAATAATCTGAAAAATATCCCAATTACATATACATATACATATACATACAATCATTTTTTACTTAAAACAAATGATAGTAGTATTTCTTGCAACACTATATATATATATATATATATATATATGCAACAATATATTATATACATATATATATATAAAGTAAATTCAACTCTATCCAAAAGGTCAAATATAAAATACACCACCTTATTCTTATATCATCATGAACTACATTCATTTTAATGAAAATTTATGTAATTAAAAATTTATTGACAATCTATTAGTTAATATTTTAGTGAATTAAAATTTAAATATAATAAATTCTTAACTATTTAATATCTCCAAAATATATTCGTAACTTTAACAGTATATACTTTTTTAAGTTTGGGAAGAATAATGATTTTGTTAAGTATTATTAATTTTTATTCAAATTGATCTTTCTATTTTTTAAAAAAATCTTTCATTTAATTCCTTTCTTTAACCCACTTTTAATGTTGTTAAGTGGGATATTATATTTTAAATACAAAAACACGTGACACCTTCTAATTTATCTAAATATAAGTGAATATTATATCAGATATCACATTATATTTATAATGATATTTAAAAAATTTTATACGTAAATAAGTTTAGATTGTTTTACGAACAAAAATTTTCTTTTTTTGTTAAACATATTTATATATCATTAATAGACCAATTTAATTTTGTTAAAATATTACTACAAAAAAAATTGATAGTATTGTCACTAGAAAGTCCGAGATCAACAATTTGTCTACCATAAAAACCCTGAGCAATTCGGTTGAGAACCTTAGCTTCTCCAACAATAAGGATCTACTCGTTGCAGGGAGCAGTGTTCCCTTAACACGACGAAGGAGACTCAAATGACAGGACAAGAGGTGCTGTTGGTGGCAACCCATGAGTCGATGTTGCCTCGCCTCGATTGAGAGTTTGTCTAGTGCACAAAGGTGACATGACGAAGAAAAAGAAAAAATCTGGGAGGAGGAAAAAGGTCAGTTGAGAAAAAAAAATTTACTTCATAAGTTCGGCCAATATTGTTTTTGCGTTATGTTGACTCAAGGGAGGGTGAAAGGAGAAAGAAAAAGAAGGATTTGGGATGTTGAGAAATTCAGAATACATAATTTAATATAATTTTAATTTGTGTATTAATTTGAAATTTTCATACCATTAAATATATATATTTTTTTAAAATATCACATCAGATATCACGTAAAATTTACGACGACATGTAACATTCTAAAATTCGATATGAAACGTAATTTCTGCTCATGTTATTTTTATACAATGAGTCCACAAAATATATACATACATAGCTCAAAATTTATAATACAATCTAACATATCATGGGATATATATAGTAATTATATATATAAAATATGATGTCAAAATTTAAATTTTAATAAAACGAAATAAAAATTTTTCGAATATACACAAAATATACATAAACATGAACATTTTTAAGATAAAATTTCATGCAAAACACACAATAAGAGACAAAAATAATAGTGATGTTTTAATGCAAAATTCATTTATTTTTTCTACAATTTCACATGTTTCTGATCGAATTTCAACAATTCTCAAATGTATATCCACACTCTCGAAAGATATAAATATATTCGAATATCAATTATCATTTCAAAACATAATCACATACATATAAAAGATCACATATATACTCGAAATGTCATTTTTAAAGTTTCATCGCACGATGCCGTTTATATCGTCATCAATGAGATACAAAATAGATCCCTCCATCGCATGGATAGAACACACATACAAATCTCACAATAACCACAACAAGTACGTTTGTTAGGTGACTCACACTTACAAACACCTATCCACCTCTAGATTAGATTTCAAACTTTATCCATGTGCAGGTTCACCATGCCCGCTGAATTTCAACCACACACATACTCCCCACCTCAATTCAGACTAAACAAAAAAAGTATTCTAAGATCCATACTCTAATTATTCACATCGTCTCGTCTCTAATTTTTTATTTATTTTATTTTAAAATTTTATTTAACTGATAATTTCCAATCATAATTATTTTTTTTTTACTTTTTATTTTTATTTTCTTATATTATTTTTTTTTTCAACTTTCCACTTAATTAGGAATTTTTTTAAAATTCTAAATTTATTTATCATTATAGTTTAAGTATTCTTCAATCTTTAGGTTTGTTTTTTAGTTTAATTTTCTCATAATTTTCAATAGCTTAGGTTCACTAGTTAGAGGTTCGAGTTCTGTTTTTTATCAAAAATCGGGTCAATATCTGTTCAAATTTTAAAATACATATAATTTAATAAAATATATGAAATTTTCAAAATCAGAATCCAGGTTAAAAATCAGAAATACTTACACTCCTATGCAACGGTATTCCTGAATCCGTTTGAACGTTCTAATTTTTTGTACGCATACGACATGAATTAATTAATATAATTTTAAATACTAAACAAAACTAATTTAATCGAATTTACAATTTTCAATGACAACCCGATGAAAAATCCCGAAAACATCAGAATTCGTATCCAGGAAAGACCTACCGGCTTTCCATTTGTCGGATTGAATTTTCGTACTCGATGAAAGCTTTTGAGCTTTTCGAACGGTGAATCGAAATCCCAAAAGAGTGAATTTGGTCTCCATTCCCGAAGAAGGCCCCTCGGCTTCCATTGGAGGGCCGATTTCCCCACTCTCGAGGAAAGCTCCTCGGTTCCTGTGTAGGTGGATGACCCAACCGAGCTCGCACAGCTAGCCCGACACCAGTCCCGCTCCACCATCGCTCAATAACCACCAAAAAAATGAAAAGGCTTTACTTTTCTGGCGTGGGGCAATTCGACCTCGGTTTGGCTCCTAATGGTCGCCTCTCGACCACCTTGTGGCTTCCTAGCTTGCTTGAGATTCGGATGATGATTTTTAAACTTACAAACTGATTAATAAACAAAAATAAAAAATGATTGAAAGAAATAGGGGAAGAAAAATGAAAAGGATGAACCTTTTACCTCGCTTGCCTCGGTGTTCGCCATCACACGACATCTCAGCCCGATTCTCTTCCTTTTTCTTCTTTTCGGCTTGGCTTCCACCACTCTCCCACCTCCGCCTCTCTCTTCCCTTTTCCAACGGCCGTTCTCAGCTCCCCCTTTCCTTTCCTGCTCGGCCACTTTTTTTTCCCTTCCTCTTCTCCTTCTCCTTCTCCTTCTCCAACCTCCGTCTTCCTTTCCTCTCCTTCTTTCTTCCTCTTGGCTTCCCCCGTGCGACAACTCCTCTTCTCTCTCGTTGAGCGATTCCTCTCTCCACCCTCTCTTTTTTGGCTACTCTCACAAAGGAAGAGAAACCTTAATTTTTCGTACAAGCAAGGAATATGGTATAAAAATTTGATAACAGCAAACACAGAAAAGAAAGAGAAAGAGGCTATTAGTTCACTTATAAGAATTTCTCCTCTAGCTTAGCTCTAGAAATTTAAGGTCTTAATCTTGAATTTTGATAGAATGCTTATTTGATGTTTTACCTTCAAAGAGAAAAGAATATATGAAATATATGAAAATTATTTCAAAAAAAAAGCCAAGAATATATGAAAAGAAAAAAAACCTGCATACTTGATCAAGTGAAATATGAAACGAATCAAAACAAAACAGCCAAAACAGGAAATAAAGCCTACTTGAGAAAATTTTTGGAGGTAGATGTATTAGAATTCAACAAACAATTCCATCTCAATAATACAAAAACAAAACAAAATATTGATAAATATGGGGAAAAAAAATAAAGATTCATGGTCCATGTACCTACGGTCTTGACCAAGAAAAGATATGAGAGAAATCATAACGAAACAGTCAACGAAGGAAGGACAAAACAAGAAGTGTTAACAACATGTTATATATCCGAATCAGAGACTGTTCTTGAGATGTGGAGCAACTCGAAGTTGATGACATCCAATAGGAAAAGAGAGAGATAAAAAGGGAGATAAACGTTATGACAAAGGATGATAAATTTGAAAAAAAAAAAAAAATTCAAGATCCAACACCTATAGTCTCAATACAAAAAAAGTAGGAAAGGAATCAAAATGAAATAGCCAATGCAGGAAGGAGAGAGAGATGAGTGATAACAACATATGAAAGAACCAAATCAGATACTATTCTTGAGATTTGGAGAAATTCCAAGTCGATGACATCAAAGATGAAAAGAGAATGAGAAAGAGAAAAAAGGAGATAGACACATAAGGATTCAATGAACAATTCTATCTCAACGATACAATACAAAGCAAAATAATGATAAATTTGAAAAAGAAAGAAAAAAATCGGAACAACACATTGCAAAAAGTTAAACAAACCATATAACGGTTGAGGTAGCAGGAGCTGCAAAATGCCATTTAATATCCACCAAACAGACAAATGAGAAGAAATTGTTAGAACAGATCAACAACCAAGAAAGAGGTTCTTTTTAGAAAACAAATCTTCCAGCAAATTAAGGATCATTAAACAGTCTTTCGCCTGGCTTTTTTTGCATGCTCTTGCTTTCCTAGGAACAAAAAGTGAGCTATTAAGCATGCATTCTAACAGTCCAGAACATAATCAACTAGCAACCAAAAGGCCTAAAGGCATATTAGCCTTTGCACAGGCAGATTTTCCAGTAACACAGAATACATGCAAATCAACTCACACACTTTTGAGTTTCCTACATCCTATTAGATAGAGTCAATGGAGCATGCAAACACACTGGATAATGTAGGTGATCAATGAAAACCAAGAAAAGAACTCATGTAATAACATCCAATGCAAACAAAAAGTGGTCAAGGCATACCAACATGCACTTTGATGGACTGTTCAAATTACGTATTCATTTACCACAAATATTCATAGATTCTTCAAGAATAAGTATGCACGTATACTAAAGTCACACAGCAACCAGCAAAATTCCCTTATTGCATCACCAACCGATTGTGAGTAACAATTACATGAAGAACGGTGAAATTTTAAAAGAAAACTACCAAAAAGGAAAAAAAAAAAAAAATCAAATATGAACAGCAAAAGAAAACTGGGCAATAGATGCCTCCCTGCCTCTCACACATTTCTCATATTTCCTTCAAATTTCATGTTCAACCGAAGAAAAAAAGTTCCAGGAAAAACCAAAAAAATACCTATAGGATTGATGCAAATAAATATACATACCGGCTTAATCACCAGTATTAACAAAGCACAAAAGCAACAAACATTAAAATCGATCCTAACCATTCAATTTTAAATTTATGTCCAACAATGGCACTACAGCAGATTAAGAATGCATCTTAGAGTTGAAGAGCATAGAGAATAAGGTCAGTTAGGAGCAATAGCATAGAGAACAGGGTCAGTAAGGAGCCTTCCTTCTCAGAAGCAGAAGAAGAAGATAAATCCAAAAGATGAGATTTGTAGCATACCAACAATTCCTCCACACTATCTCAAGACCTCGATATAAACTTCTACATGAACTCCTTTTCTGCCAAAAGCACCACCTCATAAAAATTCAAGTCCTCTCTGCTACAACTTCTCAACCTCAAAACCTGCAAAACCCTGTAACAAGGAAAGATTCTATCTTCAAAACTGTACGTCAAGCAGACAGGTTCTCAGCTAAAATTTCCTTCTTAAACCCAATTATGTTCAAGAAGAATTGGATTTCTGTCTTCAACTTCTCCTTGGAGGTCATAAGAAGAAGCTAACCCTCTAAACATAATCACACTTTAATTTCTCCGGAAACCCATAACTTACGATCAAATCAAATTTTTTCTTGAAACTTTTTCCACTCAGGCAACCGATCATATTATATTTCCCCAAACGAGCATCTCCTTGAGTTAGCTGACACTCATGACACAAAAAAAAAAAACCAAGCAAGATCAGAACCCAAAAGAGCTACTCCTTACTTTATTAGTGGAGTCTCATAATAGAATTTATTATCATAACTCTTGGCAGATTAGAAAAACTCAAACCACATCAAGAAGCCATAAAGGAGCTCGGAATGTTATAATATCACCTTTGCAGGCCTTCTGATGTAATATGAGGCCTGAAATGTCGAGAAACCAAAACTGAAATCAGAACTTGATGTAAACAAATATTATTTGGGATTCATATGAATCATGAAAACAGCAGAACTACCGTAATGAAAATGCAGCATCAAATCCATCATAATGGAATTCCAAAAACAACATACTGCAAGTAACTAATTGACACCAAAAGGAACAAAATAAAAGTGGCCATTGTTGTTTCTGAATTTCTTTATCTGCAGATATGAATCTATAAGTTGAAAAATCAGTTAAATCTTTACACATTTGTTCAAATAGCATATCTTCCACTTTGTGGCATGCCCAGGTCTTTTATGGGTTTTCTTTTTCTCTTGCACCACTTCAAAGCAAGGAAAATGACATGGTTCTTCAGTGATTTTTTTTAACAGGAAAAAGGTTATCCATAAAACCCTGAACCATTTTCCGGTCTTTTCAAATTCATGCATAGCTAACTTGAACATAATGTCGAAGGAGAAGCACCTACCTCCTTCCCTCCTTACCAGAGCAAAGTGACCAGAGACTCTAATACATTACAAACTAAATTATATAATTTACGTAAATATATAATTTATACCATTGATCAGAAAATAAATATAAGAGATAGCAAAAAGAAAAAAGTACATAGACAAACAAATGGGAGCTAGGGAGACCCGAACCAATTTATATATTAATATTCCGTCTGATCTCCTAATTCCCCCAAAATCAAAAAGAACGTGAGTTTTATTGCACTTTTTGACCTGTCATGCGAGCGCGCCCACCATGGCAAAGGTCGAACATGTAAATTATATAATTTACATAAATATATAATTTATACCCATGGCAAAGGTCGAACATGTAAATTATATAATTTACATAAATATATAATTTATACTATTGGTCCAAAAATAAATATAAAAATTAGGGCAAAAAAAAAAAATACACAGACAAAAATCAGAGATAGTAAGAGTTTACCAAAATAATATTTTAATATCCCGTGCCAAGCCAATTTATATATTAATATCCTGTCCCGTCTAGCAATCCCAGCAAAACCAAAAGAAAAACGTGAGTTTTATTATGCTTTTTGACCTGCCATGCAATCGCACTTACCATAGAAGAGGTCAAACATGTAAATTATATAATTTACATAAGTACATAATTTATACTATTGGTTAGAAAATAAATATAAAAAATAAGAAAGAGAAAAAAATACACAGGTAGACAAATAGGAGATAGGAGAGCCAAGCCAAAATAATATATTAATATCTCATACCATCTACCAATCCCCTCAAACCCAGAAAAAAAAAATATGAATTTTATTGCACTTTTTGACTTGCCATGCGAGCGCATCCGCCATGGCAAATGTCAAAAACTTAAATTATATAATTTATATAAACACATAATTTACACAATTAGTCAAAAATAAACTATAAGAGTTAGAAAATAGATAGAAGTATACATACACAAAATTTGGTGATAGGGAAAGCCGAGCAAAAAAATATGTACTAATATCCCTTGTCATCTCCCCATCCCCTCAAAACAAAACAAAATTTTAATTTTATTGCATTTGTATGGCTGACTTGCCATGCTAGCGCACCCGTCATAGTAAAGGTCAGACACATAAATTACATAATTTATCTAAATATATAATTTATACAATTGGTCCGAAAATAAATATAAGAGTTAGGAAAAATAAAAAAGTATGCATGTAGACAAATGGGAGATAGGGAGACTCGAGCCGAAATTGTATGTCAATATCCCGTCGCATCTCCCAATCCCTTCAAAACTAAAAATAGGGTGAATTTTATTGCATTTTTTGACCTATTATAGCAGGGCACCCGCCGTGGTAAAAGTTAGAATCATAAATCATATAATTTACGTCAGTATATAATTTACACTAGTTGTCAGAAAATAAATATAAAAATTAAAAAAAATAATAATAATACACAGGCAGACAAATGGGAGATGGGAAGAGCCGGGCCAAAATAATATATTAATATCCCGTGCCATCTCCTCATCCCCCCAAAACCAAAAAGACATAAATTTTATTGCACTTTTTGACCTGCCATGGGAGCGCACCCGCCATGGCAAAGGTCAGACACGTAAATTACAATACTTGATCTTGTCAATTCTAACGACAAATAATTTTTTTCATCTCACAATTTCTCCACACATCTCACTCTCATTCCTTCAACACAACCAATCAGGTATGGAACGCCACATATGAGCTTTCCCAGTGCCATATGACCGTACGCACACTACAACACTGGATCTCATTGGAATTGAATCGTTACCAATTCTTGAAAAACTGCAACAAAAGGATAGATCTCATAAGATCTCTAACCTGACTAGCAAAAGTTCAACTTGATTATTCAGAAATCGAGTTCTTCTCTACTTTTCTTAAATCATATATCAAACTTTTGCAGGAACTACACAATCAATTAATAATTATGTGATGAAAACCAATATTGTAGCGCGCAATTCAAATACAATAGTCAGAGGCAACATTGTAATAACTAACAGAATAATTCAAACTACGGTTTACTAAAAACAGGGTACCTACGGGTACAAGCAAGGAATATGATATAAAAATTTGAAAGAAAAATTTGATGACAGCAAATACAAAAAAGAAAGAGAAAGAAGCTGTTGGTTCACTTATTTGAATTTCTCTTCTAGCTTAGCTCTAGAAATTTAAAGTCTTAACCTCGAATTTGATAGAACGCTTATTTGATATTTTAACTTCAAAGAGAAAAGAATATATGAAAAGAAAAGAAAAAGAACCTGCAGACTTGATCAAGAGAAAATATGGAAACGAATCAAAACAAAACAGCCACAGGAAATAAAGCCTACTTGAGAAAATTTTTGGAGGTAGACACATTAGTATTCAACAAACAATTCCATCTCAATAATACAAAAACAAAACAAAATATTGATAAATATGGGGGAAAAAATAAAGATTCATGGTCCATGTACCTACGGTCTTGACCAAGAAAAGATATGAAAGGAATCATAACGAAACAGTCAACGAAGGAAGGAGAAAGCAAGAAGTGTTAACAACATGTTATATATCCGAATCAGAGACTGTTCTTGAGATGTGGAGCAACTCGAAGTTGATGACATCCAATAGGAAAAGAGAGAGATAAAAAGGGAGATAAACGTTATGACAAAGGATGATAAATTTGAAAAAAAAAAAAAAATTCAAGATCCAAAACCTGTAGTCTCAATACAAAAAAAGTAGGAAAGGAATCAAAATGAAATAGCCAATGCAGGAAAGAGAGAGAGATGAGTGATAACAACATATGAAAGAACCAAATCAGATACTATTCTTGAGATTTGGAGAAATTCCAAGTCGATGACATCAAAGATGAAAAGAGAAAGAGAAAGAGAAAAAAGGAGATAGACACATAAGGATTCAATGAACAATTCTATCTCAACGATACAATACAAAGCAAAATAATGATAAATTTGAAAAAGAAAGAAAAAAATCAGAACAACACATTGCAAAAAGTTAAACAAACCATATAACGGTTGAGGTAGCAAGCTGCAAAATGCCATTTAATATCCACCAAACAGACAAATGAGAAGAAATTGTTAGAACAGATCAACAACCAAGAAAGAGGTTCTTTTTAGAAAACAAATCTTCCAGCAAATTAAGGATCATTAAACAGTCTTTCGCCTGGCTTTTTTTGCATGCTCTTGCTTTCCTAGGAACAAAAAGTGAGCTATTAAGCACGCATTCTAACAGTCCAGAACATAATCAACTAGCAACCAAAAGGCCTAAAGGCATATTATATTAGCCTTTGCACAGGCAGATTTTCCAGTAACACAGAATACATGCAAATCAACTCACACACTTTTGAGTTTCCTACATCCTATTAGATAGAGTCAATGGAGCATGCCAACACACTGGATAATGTAGGTGATCAATGAAAAGCAAGAAAAGAACTCATGTAATAACATCCAATGCAAACAAAAAGTGGTCAAGGCATACAAACATGCACTTTGATAGACTGTTCAAATTACGTATTCATTTACCACAAATATTCATAGATTCTTCAAGAATAAGTATGCACGTATACTACAGTCACACAGCAACCAGCAAAATTCCCTTATTGCATCACCAACCGATTGTGAGTAACAAATACATGAAGAACGGTGAAATTTTAAAAGAAAACTGGCAAAAAGGAAAAAAAAACAAAAAATCAAATATGAACAGCAAAAGAAAACTGGGCAATAGATGCCTCCCTGCCTCTCACACATTTCTCATATTTCCTTCAAATTTCATGTTCAACCGAAGAAAAAAAGTTCCAGGAAAAACCAAAAGAATACCTATAGGATTTATGCAAATAAATATACATACCGGCTTAATCACCAGTATTAACAAAGCACAAAAGCAACAAACATTAAAATCGATCCTAACCATTCAATTTTAAATTTATGTCCAACAATGGCACTACAGCAGCATAAGAATGCATCTTAGAGTTGAAGAGCATAGAGAATAAGGTCAGTAAGGAGCCTTCCTTCTCAGAAGCAGAAGAAGAAGATAAATCCAAAAGATGAGATTTGTAGCATACCAACAATTCCTCCACACCATCTCAAGACCTGGATATAAACTTCTACACGAACTCCTTTTCTGTCAAAAGAACCACCTCATAAAAACTCAAGTCCTCTCTGCTACAACTTAATCAACCTCAAAACCTGCAAAACCCTGCAACAAAGAAAGATTCTATCTTAAAAACTGTACATCAAGCAGACAGGTTCTCAGCCAAAATTTCCTTCGTAAACCCCATTATGTTCAAGGACAATTGAATTTCTGTCTTCAACTTCTCCTTGGAGGTCATAAGAAGAAGCTTACCCTCTAAACATAGTCACACTTTAATTTCTCCGGAAACCCATAACTTACAATCAAATCAAATTTTTTCTTGAAACTTTTTCCGCTCAGGCAACTGATCATTTTATATTGCCCAAACGAGCATATCCTTGAGTTAACTGAAACTCATGACACAAAAAAAAAAAAAAAGAACCAAGCAAGATCAGAACCCAAAAGAGCTACTCCTCGAAAGAACTCGATTAAGAATCTTATTGAAGTCTGAAAGTAGGCTTCTGGGTAGCAGGACAGTGGACTGTATCTGGGTATCAGAGAATCACCGCCTCTGAAAGAACTAAATCACATATTGAGGATTTTCAGGGGATTTTATGCAAGAATACTGATTCTAAAAGTCGGGCACACTAGGCGTCAAGAAACTCAAAGATTTGATTAAATTGTTGATCGCACCATATACCTGTGCTTAAAATTGATACCAGCGCAGGGGAAGAGAGAAAGACAAATGAACCTTCGGATTTCAGTGAGGGTTTTCGGCAGCTAAAAAGCTTTGGAAAGTCTGCATTCCCAGAGAATGTTGGGAGGTACAAGAGCTAGGGTTGGTTTAGGATTTAACCAAACCGGGAACCACTGAATCGTCAGACCCCGAACAGGTGCGCACTCATCAAGATTGAGAAAACAAAAACACAATTAACCTATTCAACGAACGATACCCGCGTTTTCCAGAATCTACGATAAACAATAAAGAAAACACTGCTGGAGGGATTAAATTCTTGAAATGTTGCAAGACCAAGTACTATTAAATTGCAAATCAAGTCGAAGATAAAATCCAAAGAAAATCAAAAGATTCACGTACCAACGGAATCGGATATATTTCCATCAATGGGTTCCGCTCTTGATCTTATCTGAAACGACAAATCCAATCAAGAAAGAAGAGAGAGACGGTGGGTACATGAACGCCGATAACATTGTCCGAATAAAGAAAATAACGTGATAAGCAGGCTCGCGGCGAGAGAACATATTGTCGGTGATAGTTGAAAATATTATTCGTCTTCGTCGTGTTGGGCTTAAATTCTTGAGGCGGTCTGCTTCGGGATCTTCTACTCTTCTTTTTTCTTTTGTTTGTGAAAACCTGGGGATTTTCTAGTTATATAGAGAATCAGGGTTTGACTTTGACCGAAATTTACATTTCCAGCTGTCATTATAACGAGTCAGGTTATTTAATATATTTTAAATAGTGCAATTTTTAATTATTAAAATATATCCTTCTACATAATAAAATATGTATTCTCATTATATTAAATAATTTTTTAATTTATATAAAAATTATAATTATTAACACAAAAAATTTATATATTGATTATAAAAAAATAGTACATTTTTTATTATTAAGCATATTTTCTATATAAATCTAATATTTTTATATTTATTTAAATTTTAAATTATATAACATTTTTAATAATTTTTAGTTAATATTATTTTTTTAATAAAAAATATATCTTGTAATATATATTTTAAAATTTTAAAATATCTATTATCGATTATTATTATTACAAATATACACATATATTAAAAAAATTATATGTCATATTAATTTATTTTTAAAAATAATTTTACAAATGTAATAATTTTCACTATAAAAATAAAATTGATGTAAAAATAATATTACATTATATTAATATATAATGGCTATGTACTAAAATTATAAATTTAAAAATAAAATTTAACTTTTAATTGATTACCGACTAACAAAAATATTTTTGTTGAATATTATAATATATGTTAGTTATCCTTATATATAATAATTCGTTGATAATACTAAACAGTTAATGTAAACGTGTGATAATTTAAATAAAGATTCAATATACTCACTCAAACCAACTATTTTATGGGAATAAGATAACTAATCGTTTAATCATAAACAATATAAAAACAAAAATAAATATTTATAATTTTAAAGTTTCTTTAGTTATTTTTTTTTTAATTTTCAATAATGTATTCATGTTTTACTCATAAGTAAATAACGATAAACCTGTCAAGTATGTTAAGATGAATTAATGAAGTCGAGTAAGAAACATACCCCTTAATAAATTTGCATTTGCAGTAATTCATAACGTTGACTTTATGATTTCTAAAATGTTATCAAATCACTTTACAAGATTTGGAATATCAAATAATGGCAGAACATCCAAAACTTTCAAAACTATGACATGAGGTTTTCTTGAATTTCAACTGTCCACAATGGAGTAGAATTTCAAAATCTGAAAACTCAAGCACCTAGAAACTCTAATTTAAGCTTTCGACAAAATATTATCCAACAGATTTATTTGAGTAAACATTAAAGTAAACTATTATATTTTCAATTTGAAGATATAGACAATGAAGACATCAAAAGTTGAAAAGATGCTTAAGATTATCATAGCATGTAATTGTTATATATACAATATTCATGTATTTGTGATAATAAAAAAATTAAAGAGATCAATCATATCCTCCAAAATTCTTCAGTAATTATATCATAAATTTATACTTAGAGAAGATTGTAGCACCCGGAAAGGAGGAAAAAAAAAAAAAAAAAAAAAAAAAAAAAAAAGGGGGCGGCCACGTCAGCAGCCACGTCAGCAGGCCCAGTCAGCAGTCCCGGCCAACCAGGGCCTGCCACGTGGCAAGACCGCGTCACTCCAAAAGGAGCCACGTTGGCGATCCGCGTGGGTGCGATCCGACGGCCCAGATCAATCACGCGATCGGACGACCCAGATTCAATCGCACGGACGGCCCAGATTCAATCAAAAACGAACGGCCCAGATTAAAACAAAATGAACGGCTGTGATCAAAAGGCAAGGGGTTATAAATAGAACCCCCACACCAGACCACAAACCCTAGCCGCCAGCCGCTCGCCGGAGAAGACGAACCAGAGGCCGACCGCCGCCACCCGCCACCACTCGCCGCCGCACCGGGGAAATTTCCGACCGCCGATCGAGGTAAATTTCATACCCCCGACTCGTTTTTCCCCACTGATTCCTCCTATGGCCAAATCGAAACCGAAATCCCGGCCAAACGGCCGGAATACGCGGCCGAAGCCCAGCGGCGCCGCCGCGCCCCCTCTCGGTTTTTGCCTCCGACGAGGCCCTTCCCGGCCTCCGTTCGATGCAATTTTTATATCACCGTGATCACCATTCTTTTCTCTACAGGTTGACCGGAGCCGAATCACCAAAACACGAACCTCGCCGGAGAGCCGCTGCACCCGAGAGCGCCGCCGCCGGTAAGCTCCGTTTTTCCGTGATTTTTTGGCCCCCCGAGGGCCCTAGGGCTGTTTTCTGACAAGGACCAATGCGAGTGTGGCCGAATTCGGCCGAAAACGGTCGAAAACAGTCAACCCGAGGCGACTCGCCGCCGCCAGCGGCGGCGCCGTTGCCGGAGCACGGCGGAGCCGCCGTGCCGGAGTTGCGATTTGGTCCGAAAGGGGCCCTGGGCCTAATTTGGATTTTTTTTTGGAACACGTGCAGGTACTGTTAGTGTGTTTCAGTTCCCCGGGAAAAATTCAGGGAAAATTAGGGAAGGCCTGCAGGCGCACTGTGAATCGTATTCGGATCTCGAAAACAGTAAGGACCCCTCACCCTATTTCCTATCACGGTATTAAAGTTCAAAATGATAAAACGGTATTTCTTGAATTAACGAATGTGTGAAATTGCTTAAGGTAGCTAATGGAGCCCGAGTCTAGTGTGATTGATGATTTACTGTTATTTGGCCTGTTTACAGCTTTAAATGCAAAATGAGGTTTGATGTGTTCATTTTACAGATTTGTGTGCATATACTACGTTTTGATTAATCATGGGTTGAATGACTGAAAAACTGATACTGTATGTTGTTTGTTTGGCATGAATTACTGTTTGCTTGTTTGTATGTTAATTGATGATGCTGATTGAGGAAAAGGGAAATGAAAGATTGTGTAGACTGATAATTGTATTATGGGGGTCAGCCTGACTAGATATCCTGGGAGATGGTGGACGGACCGGGTCCGTAGGGAACCCTACCGGGATTGTGGTCTCACATGCCGGACGGGGTATGGAGATCTTATGGTTTTGGCGCCCATACCGGACGGGGTATGGGGACGGCCCGTTTCACCCTCATACCGGACGGGGTATTGAGGTTTATGGTTTTGGCGCCCATACCGGACGGGGTATGGGGACGGCCCGTTTCACCCTCATACCGGACGGGGTATTGAGGTTTATGGTTTTGGCGCCCATACCGGACGGGGTATGGGGACGGTCCTGGAAACTGATTATGAATGTTAAAGGTTAACGGGTAGCGGAACCCCTATGGACCCCCACGGATACTAGTAGGCTGGTAAATGAGAAAAAGATATGTTGTACAATGATTGAATTACAAGAGGCGTGATAAGTGTTATGTTTTACAGCTTAGATTATTCAATGATTATGATGATGTTATTGTTTTTCTCATATTGTTTTCATAAATTCCACCAAGGTAAGTGGATGGTAAAAGTTTTATTATTGATAAAAGGTTTTATTGTAAATTATGCTCCATTGGTCTTTTGTGTTTTTCTACCCACCTTTACCTCCGTGACGGTGAGATATCGTGATGTTCTTACTGGGCTAGTGTAGCTCACTCCTTATTTAACCATTTCAGATCAGGAAGACATGGTTCCCGAGCCCGTTCCGCAGGAGGACGACGAAGGGGATACCTAGAGACTCTGTAGTCATACTCATAGTTTTATTTTCGAGTTTCTCTCTTAGTTAGTTTAATCTTTTATATTTTAAGTACGTTTCTGGTTTTTCGTGTAAGGGATGTTAACTGAAATTTTGATCTCGCTTCCGCATTTGATATATTTAAATACTCATTTCATTTTAATATTTACGGGGCCGTTACAAAGATAATTGAAATACCACCCAGAAAAGTTCAAGTACAGAACTTCAACTTTCCTCCACTAGAATCACCTGCCTCTACTTCCTCTAAAATTGCACTCGAAAATCAAAATACCATCAATAAAATAAATCAGAACAACAATTGCATTTTTAAACAAGAACGATGATAATCATTATAAAATTAACAAACTAAAAAAAAAATCAAACTAGTCTATATGATTTATCTCATAAGATTTTATCAAAATTTTCAAGTAACACTCCTGTTTAACCACTTATTTGTGAGTTGATTTTGATACTCTGTGCTTATCCCTTACGCTGAGAGATCCAAATGATTTTAACACCATATCAACTTGATCAATTTCAACAAACTCAGCAGTAAGTGTGCCTCAACAAGATGTTATCTTCATTGGCATTACGCAGACATCCTTGCTACCTGGCATCATTTATCAGTTTCTCCTAATGAGCTGCTACTACTTAAAGTTGTCTCATTCCCTAATATCCATACAGTACCTGTAAGCATATGATACCTTTTGGTTTGAGTGACAAATAAACGAAAAGCCAAATATGCTATATCTGAATTATTATCTTCTGATCGGTATGATATCTTGCACAAGTTAGAGCCATATTAGCACTCTGATTATTCGAAAGAAAACCAATTGATCTAGTTCCATTGGATCTCTCAGTTGATATGATTATCACGTCCTCATTGGCACCTTGAAATCCATCAACATAGTGAATATTTACAGTGAATCCACTCTCTTTTTGTGAAACGTATTTGTCTCCAATTCTCTTCTGGATCGCGTAAACTTGAGCCTTGTCTTGCCAGTCCCTAAAAGTCCACAAATCAATTTCACAGTTTTATCATGGTGACACTCTCTTGTTCTAATACAACTTAAATTTGCAACTCCATGGGAATCATTTAATTGAAAGAAGAAATCATGCTTAAGATATTTGAAACAACAGGAGTTTCAATCTCTTCAGATAAATAGGCCGCACAATCTGATTTACTCCCCTACAATAATAACAAAGAGAAATGACTAGCTTTAAATTGGAAGGAACCAAAATTTGGAATAATTAATTCATTTGAACTAAAAAAGTACTTTTACCACTTACATAAGACATCAGTTGACACACATTCTTGATTATATTCAATTTTGTCTGCTTGAGCTTCAGGTCTATTGGTTTCCATATTCGAATACTCGTGGTCATGTTAATAAGATAAACTCAGAA